CATTTAAAGAGGTTCGTACTTGCTACAGGTCACTCCTCCCGCAGCAACACAACCCCTTCTGGGTCTGTACAGCCAACAGAGGGGAAAATTGACCCAGGTTAAAAACTCATCCCCACATTTTTAAATGGCTGCGTGCCATTTAATGATTTCCCAGCATGTTAGAAGCAGGAGTATCATTCCTACATGAATGAAAATGTAGTTTTCTGGGGCTTTTTTTTTTTTTTTTTTTACTTTGTTTAAAGAACATTTTATCATTTACTTTCAGGAACAGATTTATGTGAATACAAAGTAAAAAAAATAAATGAAAGCAAACTCCTTAAACTTTTGTTTAAAGAAACAATTTGAATACTGTCCATGTTACTTTTGGCTATAATATTTTTTTCATTTCTATTATAATACAACTTACATATTTTGAAAAAAAAAAAACCCAACCAAAAAAAAACCAAAAAACCACACAAACATGAAGGTCTTTAAAATAAAAGACCACCTAAGTATCAGCATCTGAGTTATGTGTCAATGGAATATTATATTTAGGCTACTTAAGAAAAGTAGAAAAGAAAAATTTGAGGGACCTCCTTGTTTTACAGGCCTTTGCCAGAGGTCTCAAGGGGAGAGGAGGAGTACCCAGCTTCACTCCACAGCCCCACCATCTCCCCTGCTCTGCCACAGCAGTGACCCAGCTCTCTCTATTTCACAGCTGACTGGAGAAGGACAGAATTAAGGAGAGGAACGGCCAAGACATAAGTCAATTTAATGTACAGAGCACAGGGAATAGAAGGTATTCAAAAGATATTAGATAAATTGGCAAGTTGATAAAAATCACCAACACCATATCAGATTCCATCAATTTAAGTTGTTACCTATATTGAAAAATAGGTAACTCAGATCAGATGCCTTGCCCAATGTTTTGATGCATACGTCAACAAATTATGATCAAAACTGAATTTCACAAATACAAAGAAGTCTTAAACAAATCAATTTCCATTTATTCCTTTTCAAATTTCCCAGTTTAAAAATAATTAAAATAACTGAAAATGACTAAGTCTTTGCAGGGGGGGGGCTATTTGAGCACACAGCTAAGAATTTGTCAACAATTTAATGCATAAGCACTTAGCACATTTCTGTGGTCTAGGTACTGCAAAAAGCTTTGAAATAAAAAAAAAAAAAAATTAATCACATACCACGGTGTGTGTAAATACTGCCCAAATCTTAACTTTTTGATCTATCGATATGCCTTCTGCTGCAACTGGTTCACTCTAATTACTCTTTACAGTTTAAAGCACAGTTCAGCCTACACCTGAGGTGCGCTGACAGTGATACGCAGAAAACAACCACTTTGTTGGCTTGATAATGATGTACTGGCTGCAAAAAGTAGACATAGAGTACTGGCACTACTTAGGGACACATACATCCTTCAGCCTTCTGTACACAGCATTTAAGCTTTTTTTTTTTTTTTTTTTTACTGTCAGCTTAAGTGGAAAGTACACCTCGCTTGAAGAGATTTTTAATACAACATACAACACCCCGTAAGATGGTCAATGAAAGAGATTCAGTTTTCCTACATTACTACTTCCATTCACATACAATTGCTCCTCTCGGATTAAGTAAAATAATTTCTATATGACATTCCACAAGAGATCCAAACGGAGTTGCAAGTAGCATGCTTAGGGCAGTACTGCAAAGCAGCAACATTAAGATTTTACTTTCCTAATTAAAGCTACTTTAAGACAAAGTGCATATTCTAACAGCATCCAATGGACTTGCAGGTAATCGAATCACTGTCGACTATAAAAGAGTGCAACTAATAAACAAACTACTTTCTGCCAAGCCAGCCCCTAAGCTACGACACGAACAAGACTTCACAAACAGTTTAAGAAAATTCTATTTCTCGTATATTCTATGCATTCATTTCCTTAGCAAATACGGTAATTCCTTCTACTACGATCAAACTAAAGAGAAATCTACCAGATAATACAGTTATACTAAAGAATACACAGAGTTTACATTTGTACGTTAATTTCAAACTGAAATTAATCTGAAGTGCAACAGAATTCCCTTACCTTCGCTTCCCTAAGTACCACACAGTAAGTTATATAATTTATCCTGTCCAACATTTTCTGGTGAACAACTTGTCAGAAGACTAAATAATACATTAATATTTCAATATGGCTACTATAAATTCCAACACCACTTAATCATCATCTTAATATTTTAATTTGTTATAAACAAGCTGCTTGTTTAACAGAAGTTTGTTCTGCACACCAGTAATTTATTTTGAATCATATTAAGGCAGAAAGATAATATTAACAGCCTTACAGTCTATCACAGGTTATTTACTGGACTAGTAACAGCAAGTTTACAGAAACTAATATTAAAAACCGATAGATTTTCATAAAGAACAAACCTGCTGAAAACCCACAAAGCAGGGGATGGTGAAGTTACAGTTTACAGAGAGATTCCAAAGAAAGACGCTTCCAACTTGTGTTGCTTTCCCACTCTGCAGATTTCATTAGAAAATGGAGGAGAAGCATGGTGTCATTTTACTGCTCCAGGAGTGCTGCCTGCCAACTCCTCCTGGAGTAGGGGCCCAGTGACTTAAACTCCCCCTCCAATAAAAAAAAATGGCAGCTGTTTGAATAACTTTAGTGCAGATGGAAAACAGTTTCTCACTCGCACAAAATCAGCGTACAAAGATCAAATCGTCTACTAAACCACACAAAGAACAGCACCAAGCTGTCCTTTAAATGCTGCTTCTTGCTGCTGCTGAAGCTGACCTCTTAAAAATGTATTGTAATGCTCTCTCCCTGCATGTCATGCCCCAAAGAGTTGTCAGTGCTGGAATGCTGAAGGGCAAACAGAGGAAGTCTGGCTTTCAAGCTGACACACGTAAGATGTAGTGCTAGAATTTTCGTTGTGGAAAAATGGCCGCAGCTGTAAGCTCAGCTAGCTGATCTGGAAAATATCTAACTGTTTGCCAATTCATTAACCCCTGAAGATCCGCACAAAGGTAAGCCGTATGCCATTCCGACGGGTAATTTTAACAGCAAGCATTCGTGATTCTGTTCGGTTTTGCTATTTGCTTTCAAGATTTAAAAGCTAACATAACAGTTTTTCCAATCAGTAAAAGCATAGTTAGGTAAGCAAAACAAAAATCCGACAAAAAACAGAAGAGTTAGTGTTCTCTGGCAATTTTGCTTCACACAGAAGAAAATGAATAAGAAGTTTCCAAGGTGGGAAATATGAGTCAAAGATTTCAATTCCACACCCAGCTATTTTTAAAAGCACTTTCCGTTTCAGTGGTTGATTCAAAGTTTATTCTGTTCTGCAAGAAAAGTAGTACTTTATGCCTCTGCCTTCTACAAAGCAGGGGAATTCAGAACTGGAGATTGACAGATGTTTTCAGCTCTAGCTTGTACTGTTTCGCAAAGCACAAAAGCATTCAGAACAACTAACCACAACACTAGCACCAACATCAACATCACTGTTCAAATTTTATGAATTACTTCACTCGGGTATTACGTGCATACATTAAAGTGTCTGCAAGAAGATATTTCATCTCATAATGAAATCGCATTCTGCAGAATTACACCATGATTACTGAAGTGAGCATAGACAACAGAACTCCAACATTCTTCTTAAATAGCATTTACTTTAGTGCTTGGCTTATCATTAGCTACTTGCGGCCACAGCACGGTTTGCGGAGTCCTGTTTTAGGAGAAATTCAGGGTAAATGGATTGATTTGTCTGTCTTTAATAGCACTGACCTTAAACACAGCAAAAATACATATTTTGCCAAGCCAGAAGGAATACCACAACAATTGACAATTCTTACAATATTCTCAACAAATAAGGACTTTTGAATGACACTTATTTTTTTCCCAAAATAGTGCTACAAGAGCACTTGGAGGGCACTTGTTGATGTATGAATTTGTTATGCTAGCTGCTACATAAATAGAGAAACATTCCACTTAGGAACTAACTAATACATTCATCTCTAACTCCTATGAACTTTCTCTTCCCTCTTTTAATAAAGCCAGATGTATAAAACTAGACAGGTTAGAATATCTGAAATCCACAGGAATGACACACATGCATTTTTAATGACGATACTACAGGATTAAAATGCTGCTTCTACCAGAAACATTTATATTAGCATCATCTTCATTACTTCCATTCCTAAACCTGAACAGGAAAAAAAAAAAATCAGCACTATTTACAGGCACAGTAGTAACTACTTCAGCTGGTACAAAAGCCATTTCTACCTTAGCTAAAACAACATTATGGAGCCATCTAAACTACGCTTAAAAACAAGAAATAACCTCCCTACCCACCCCCACCACTTAACCAGCTACTTTTCTGAAAGAAGGAACATAATTCTGAATTATTTAGAGATCCTATACTCTTGTATTTTATCTTCAGCTCATGCACAAAATAAATTATTTAAGACATTAACGCGATGGAAACTTGGAAACTAATGAAACATTAATTTGCATCCTGAATACAAGTAGGCAAAACTGTTGAAACAATGAAAGAGCTATGTGCAACATAAGCAACGAATTTGTTCCTATAGAAACCGTTGCAAAAAGTTGCCTATCTGAATCTCAAAATGTCTGTTCTTCTTCAGAAGGACTGCCAGCTTGCGTTTGACAACTCTAAATTCCTGTTAAACTTCCTGAAATACCCTTTTAATGATAATGTAACATTAAAGTTGGAACTTAATACTTCATCAGTAAATATCAAGCCTCCAAGGAGGGGGAAAAAAAAGAAAAAAAAAAAGAAAAAAAGATGTACTCTTTCTTTCAATTTGAAGATTACCATCAGGTAGCCTACTGAGCAGAATTGCTGCCCTCCCATCTTCGTGCTATTTTTAGCCATTTGCTTTTGCAGCCTCGTCCCTGATGTGACGCAGGGATGCCAGTGCAGCATAAGTACATAGGTCAAATGTTCATCCAAAATGGAGGTTACTATTTACAGCAAAGTATTTTATCATTTTCCTTCTTCACTATCTTTTCAGATATATTTTATTACTTCAGAATAAAACCAAGCAGTTTCACAATTCTTTAAACATGGTAGATTATCTTAGAAGCCTTATGGCAGGAATATACAGAAGAAAACAAATGCTTAGCCTGTATTTCAATTGCAATTCCATGCACTGCTTGAAAAAGGGTGCTTTAAAAAACAGCTAAAGAGTATTTATTAAGTAGAATATTCTTCCAGAACTTTTAATAAGTATCCAGTTCTGTGCTTAAGGACAAACATAGAATTCCCAACTGATTTCAGGGACCAGAGTCGGGCTGGAAAGGCCAGGACCTACAGCCAGTCCAGCAAAACCCACAGGATGGTTCCACGTATAGAACCTAAACTTCCATTACTGACATCAGCTATAGGAACAGCGCACTAACACATTCACGTAGCCACCATGCTCTGGCAGCTCCTTCTGCCTCAAGCCATCAATAATCCATAGCCAAAATATCAGCCTCCCCTAAGCAGCATGTAGAACTCTCCAAGATGCAGAACGCAGGCTGCCCTCCTTCCCTCCGCACAGCACCATCACACACTGACAACCTATTGGTCCCGCTCAATCTGGTTTGGATTATTTTTTTTTTTTTCCCAGTTAAACACACACACTGAAGTAGACATTGCACTTAAATAAACTAGACGTAAATGTGTCTCCTGATAGCTGGTAATTGGTACTGCAGTCCTCGGCAGGAGAATCAGTGCATTTTTTACATGGAGAACCTGCCTCCTCTATTTCAACCACACACGAACGAGGATGCTTCTTCAAACACACACCTCAGTAATGGATACTTTCATTTGTTTCTCTGCCTCTTCTCAAGCGCAGTATGTCCTCTACAATCTTACTACCTTCATGCCAGAACAGCACTTCAAACACTTTTTGATTTTTCCAACAGTAATTGCATCTCTGCTAAGCAGGGCTTCCGAGCTCCTCTTTCTACCACTGCTCGAGTAAGTGTTAAATTAAACCCAATGTTCCCAGAAAACAGGGATTCAGCAAGCACTCCACATGATCACTTATGCAATTATTACCCACTTCCCAACTAACAGGTTATGAGCTAAAATTAAAAATAAAGTGAAAAGAATCTTTTCCCCCCTTTATAGAAGCTGATTGGAATGGAGATCTGTATAAAACCCACAAACATTCAGAATAACTGCAGTGTTCCCAGTCTGCCACTGAACATCGAAATTACAGCTTTCACATACTGTCATCTTGATCATTTTGTCAGGATGAACTCTCCACATGCAATAGTTAGTTAAAACTAGACATATCAATTACTTGTACTATCAAGCATTCCCAACCTCAGTTGCACTTTGAAACATCATTTCAAAATATTCTAGCAGATCCATTACGTGGATCTATACATGGTCACACTTGAAGTGTTAGAGTGTTTGTACACTTTCCAAACAAAGCAAAAAAGGGGAAAGAAAAAAGCGAACAAGGAAAACAACTCAAGGCATATGATGTATATGCATGGTGCTGCATAAGTAATTACAAAAGGAAAATCGGAAGAACTGAAGACTCTAATCGACCCTTAGCCATTACTCTTATTGTCTTGTGGTCACCGTTTGAAAAAGTGCAACTGAAGTTTCAAGCATCCCACCTTTTAGTTTGAGAAGAGCTTTCAGATGACCTATTTGATTCAACGGATTTAAAATGCAGAAATAATATACAGCATAGAAATAACTCTAAAGTAACTTACCTTTGATTTTTTGTTCAATGGCCTAGAACAAGAAAGAAGAAGTGTCAGTGATTTGTGCAGATAAGAGAAAACCCACATGTGCATGAGTCCTTTCATAAAGCAACATTAGCTTTTGACTTTCCTCTTTTAAAATATTTTAAAGTTATTTAATTATCTACTTTAGAAATGTCTCTCTAACCAACCCATGCCTATTATTCCTTATGCCTAGAAAGCTGTTTAAATGTTAGAGAAGACAAAATTAATTTGAAAGATAACTACATGAAACAGACTGAATTAAACTTGCAAATTAAGATGTTTGAAGTGAGTTAAAAACTGTGCCTGGAAGCAAGGAACCTTCACCACTTTTATCGCAGCATACAGCAGGGGAAGAGGGAGGGACCTAGAAATTTGAAGGAAGAAAATAAATGCAAAAACTTTGAGGCTTTCATTTCCAAGATTCAACTGGTTACACCTGTGACATGGCCAAGATGAGAGATCTATTTGAATAAAATTTTATCACAGGATAAAAATGAGGAGAGTTAACATTTCTTGTAAGGAAGTGCAGTTTTAACTATAAAGTGAAACTGACTTCATGAAGGACCTCCTCAAAAGCACAAATCATAGTTTTTCCTATTTGAAACTAGAGTTTTCTTAATCATCACTTTTAAAATGCACTATTGCCAAAGCAAAATTAGATTTGTTTTGATTTGGTCGCTTTGGTAGCTGTATACAACCCTTTTTAATTATGATATTGGCTATATTCACAGCATGCAATAAATTTGTGATAATACTTAAGCTATGATTGTCTATAATTAAATCCTTCAAGAGAGAGGAAAAAAAAGAGAGAGCTCGTGTGAATGCAAGAAAAATTTATTGATTCACTGATTTGATGTAAGACTTGGTTAGATTCAGACATTAGCACTGTTAGGGCTGACTACTGAAACTTTATTAACGACTCTTCGGTGCCATAGACTCATTTCTCTTAAGGAAATCAGGAGTACATTAACAGAAAATGTCTCTTTTTCAACTTCTTAAGCTGACAAATCCAAGGATATCTACAAAAATTTAAGTTATACTGTCTGGTAGTTCAAAATGTAGACTCTTGCTCCCAAAAAACCTTGAGCATAAGCTTTTCAGTTTTTTTGTTTATGCTCTTAAAGAAATTGCTAAAAATAGGTAAAGACTGCAGAATATCTTCTGAAGAAAATCCACTCTACTAACAGTAATGCATCAGCCCCTGTAATTAAGAAAGCAAAAATAATGCCAATGGCTACTTACACAAGTGTATAAAAAAACCCGTATCACGTTCACTGTCAGTTTTGCTGATCTTACTACTTACTGTCCTTATTACTCTGACTCCTCCAATACCACCTCATCTTCCAAAAGGCAGTTGCTGTACTCAGGGCCACTACATAACACTACAACTTTTCATCGTGTTCTTTGTTCAACACATCTGGCTAAAAAAAATTATTCTGAAGACCTGGGAAGCTTTGTATGCACTTCAACTCCAGGCTACTGTATGCACAGCAGCTGGCTTTGAACGAAGCATTCAAAACACGTTTTTATATGATCATAAAAAGGTAAATGGAACACAACAGTTGGTGTCCCACAAAAGCTGCTCAGCATCAGGATGAAAACTTAGAGAAGGTATGTTCTGTGCTAAGTATCATACCTCTAATTGCTGCTGTTCTTTTTCTACTCCTTTTAGTTCCAATTATTAAAAAACTACAGTATATATAGAAACCAAGCATTAGCTTTTCCTTCCACAGTATTATTACATGACGCCTTTTCAGTTCTTGCCATGCCTATACGTGTGTTTAGAACTTACTCTGGAGAGCTTGTAATCTCACCCCTCCTCCCCGACTGGGACTTGAGTTAAAAATCAATTGATTGGCTTGGCACTTGACCCATGAGCAGGAAAATGAGATAACTTAGAATTTTTCAAAATTTTTTCCTGTTTCTGACTATCCACAGCACCTAGAGAGATCAGCGAAGAGAAAGGGTCACAGGATAAGGCTACTGACTTCTTTTTATACTAAGGTGCTATTCTCTAAAAGAAAAACAATTTGAATATGTCAGCTATGGACTTCCAAAATATTGTGCACTGTTAAATGCTTCAAAATTTCTGCTAGAGAGCCTATGGCTGATAATACAAAACAGTACGTCCTTAGGAGATCAAACAGAAAAAGTTTGCTTACAAACCAGAAAGAACAATTTTGGTCAATCTGAAACTACTCATGAATATTAAAAGAACATAAAGGGATTCTGCCTTCCTTGTGACCTACATTAACTAGTTTTCATTTTAATCTAGAATCAAGCCACGTCTGTACTAGGACTTTTTTCCTTTTTTTTTTAACACCAAAGTTAACTGGCAGTTGTTTCTACCATGGTTTTTCAGAGGTATATTCTCTTTAATCTAGACCAAGTTTAAGCTTCTCCAGGAATGCAGATGAGCATCCTTGTGGCATGCTACTCCTTTTTCCATCAAAGCTGCTTAAATTCCTGATACATGAAATCCACACACTCAACATTTTGTTACTCTGAGAATGCAGCACATCAGTAAAGACCTGTGGCTTCTGAAGAACAGTCTAGCAGGTGCTCCATGGCAGGAGAAAGTGCAAGCAAAACTTTCAATTTTAGGCAAAGGCCTAATCTCTTAACTTTCAAAAAAATATTTATTCTTTTATTTCTTCTAGAAATTTCACTCTCAAACATGCTTTTCAAACTCATGAAAAAACTAAATTTTGGGGGAGGAAGTCAGCTATGAAGAACCACTTGTTTAAAAGGTTCAAGTTCTACAAGTAAACCAGCTCCTTTCCCAGTACAACTTCTGATTAAAGAAGAGAAAAATGAGTTATAAATTTACAATTGAGGCCCAAAAATCATTATGCAGCTTTGCAGTCAGCTACTGAAAAGAACCCCTCATTCTGAAATATGAACAAATATCTCTTGTAGGAGTACCCCTCCAATACTATTTCATGTAGATTTGTTGCAAGATTAGACATACCTAATTTCATACAGGTGCACAACAAACACCTTCATTTAGGCCAACAAACAAGGAGAGCTGACTACTGATTTTTTGACTATATAATAAATATCTAGCAATAGTCAATAGAATCAAAGAAAAACTGTTAAGCAGGTTCACTTTGCTACCACCAGTTAGCAAACAAACCTGAAATGGATATGTTTTAAAAACAGATTTATAAGCTCCTTTCAAGCTTAGGGTCAGTACTAGAATCAATGGCCATGATTAATATCTTGTCAGTAAACAGGAATTCTGAAGTGTTTACAAGCCTTTCTGTTTTGTTTCCATCCCAGAACACTTTTGCTGTCAATATTTTCATTTTTGTCCACCTTCCCTAATACAAATTGTCTTATGACACCTATGTTTCCATACTGAAGGATAAGAAGATATATTAAAGCAAGGATACCGTTGAAAGCCACTATCTTAAAAAAGATGGTAATTTTATTCTACTAATAAATGTACTAACACTGAGGAAGTTTTCAAACTTGAAACCGCTTCAACTGACAATCAGGAAAAAGAACGGTCATCTCAGAAAGAGTATTTAAGCTCTGAAGAAACAGTACACAAAGCCAATTAAGAGGTTCAGTATGTCAGTTACCACTAAGTAACTGACAGTACATTGAAAGCTTAAAACCATAAACTAAAAAGAAAACACTTCTGAATAACAGCATCTAAAACAGTATTTACTAGTGACGAAACAAAAGTAACCCATGAGCACAGGGATTTATTTTTTAACGTTCAACATACCTTTTTTTGAGCAGCTTCCTTCTTCTTCTTGTCTTCTTTTCTCTTTTTCCTTTCTTCCATCAACTGTTCTTCCTCTTCTTGCACTAAATCCCTGAACCACACAGTTTGTAATTAACTCTCCCAAAATATAATCTGTACACACTTAGATTCATTTTAGAACAATTATTTCACAGTGACACAAAAGGAGCTGGGGAATTTTACTTCTAATTGGATAATATTTCTATAGGGACTATGTACTTTCACTGCAAATCACAAGTGACAAAACTTTAAGAGCAGATGCAGTGTCAAGCTACACGGAAGATTTTCTTTTTTCCAAAATTTACAATGAAGGTTTAGACAATAATTTGATTCAAAAGCCAAAGCAAATTCAGATGTTATTTAATCTCTACCTGCTATTGTGAATTTGTATGACTGAGCCCCCCCACATCACATTTCCCCACTGTCACACGCGATCAGCTCTGACCCAGCATGGAGTTTGACTACGCTCAGCACAAGCCAAGCAGTGGGCTCATCCCCAGCCATGCTCACCCTTTTCCATCAACACCAGTGCCTAGACAGCCATGCAGCAACTTGCATCAGCTCACTGATCTTAAACGCCACCTCTGCCAAGAAACAACCAATATATACACATTCTGCTGCCTGAGCAGTGAGCTAATTCAACTGGCTGTGTATCTGTATGACATAAAGGACACATGAACTAGCAGGAACATGAACTGAAGAGCATGGTCAGACCAGAACTTTCAATTGCAGAGCTTTCAATTTTAGAGCACATTAAACGAGTGACAGAACTGTAGCTTGACAAATGTGAAAACAAAACCTGTTACATTAATTTAAATTCACTTAACAAAGTTTTACATGCTAAAACAGAAGGCTTAGCAGTGACACCACTTTCCAGATTACACTGCATTCTCTTAAAAACAGAATTCAGCAAAGGCAAGACAAAAGAGAGAACATGGAGAGTGTGAAAAGCAGAAAGAACTAAGGGCTTGCAGGCATATTTGCAAGCTATCAGGGTCAGTAAGAACTAATATGTGAGACAAATTTAACGATAACAAAACCAAACTTTTCTTAAAGGCCATGCTTGGAAAGATGAGAACGAACTCCACACAAACACAACTGACAGAAGAGACTGTAGTAACAGGCAGACAAAAACACATTTGGGCTAATCGTGCAAAAAGCTCGTGACAACATGGAACGTGCAACGGAACATCAGTTAGTTGTTTCATACACAAGAATAAAAACAATTGCTCACAGAAAGATGAATTCTCTTT